AAACATTTATTATTAAGACACCCTGTGTTGGATTTTATTTATATCATAGCCAATTGTCTCTCATAGGAAGTGGATTCCTCTCTATCAAGGATTGATATTTTGGACTGCCATATTCATGTATCCCTCATACGTGAGTCCCAGCGCAAACTGATGATAGGCTATGTAGCACTTCTTCATTTAGTCAGAATTTGAGGTGCATTTTGTCTAGCAGGTGAAAATAGATTTACTTGCCACTGCATATGGTCACCCGAGTTGGAGTAATGATTTTGTCTGTTAGTTTTTTACTATATAGACAATGAGAAGTCATTGTCTACTTAGGAGAGGGATGTGAAATGTGACACAGAAAAGCTGTGTATTATTAGAGGCCCTGAATTTGCTTTATGAAACTCACAAGTACAATAGAAAACTATTTATGATCTGTAAATTGAAAAAAAATCCAAACATTTTGGCTTGTAGAATGAAATAATAGGTAATAATAGTTGATGACATCTGATTCAAATTTGGGAAGTGTTAGGGAGCAAGATGTAGTCTTAGCTACAGCTGGCCAGAAAGCTGCCAGCTTTCTGCAGTATTCTTTAGTTATTTCAGTGATAATCAGAACCTTACGATATGATCATAAGCCACTGTCCCATGTTTGCTCTGAACTCAAAGATTGTCACCTTACTATCCCAAACATGGTCTGAAGATGAGCCTGATTTGTTTGCTTCTCAGAGAGGGACTAAGAAGGCATGATGTTGTCCATCATTATAGGATACTTTTATTCTCTTTCCTGTCTTCTGTGACTTTGAATTGCTTCATCCCCTTCCATTCTGTGTGTAGTTTATAAGCTAGGAAAAGCTTTGCATCATGTTCTGTCTCCGTGCTATTTAGTCTGTGAGCCTTCCACCTCAATTTGAGGTCTTCGGCATTTCTACAATACTGGTTTGTAATCTCATCGGTCTTTTATCATTGCTGTATAGTGGAGTGTGCCACTAGGCGCTGAAGAGGCAGTTACAGCTGGAAAGGAATCCGAAGGTTGAGTTTTATTGTTGCAAACCGCAGCAGTACTGCACTGGGATGTTTTTCAATGAAATAAACTGTTAAACATGCCATGCAATATTATTAATAGTGCTGACATTTTGTAAACAGAAGACAACTCACTTTTATACCCTAAGTTTAGGAATGCAGAAACCAGGTATTGTTAAAATTTAGACTAGATTACACTTGAGAGCATGAAAGATTTTTTTTTTAATGGTTGGCTGGCACAAATCTTTCTTTGTCTTGCTCTTACTGTTCATACAGTACTTACTTACTTGAATTGAAGGCTTCCTTGTGTTTGTTTTTCCAAAACCAGCCTGTTGTATGCATTGTCAAAACATCCATCTAAGGTCAGAATTTAAAGAAATAAAATGTTCATCGAGAGGTTTCCTGGTATGTGTACAACAGGCAGAGTTTACACTGTGCTTTGAAGAGTGCTCTGTGAGTCTTTCTGTAACTGATGTGTGAAGAACTGCAGTAAAAACTCCCCCAAACTTTCTCTGTTCTCCATTTATGACACTTTTCCCTAAGGACTGAACAGTAGTTGGTGCTGCAAAAGGAGGTATTTGTTTAGACAAATAATAGCATGATCCAGGAAAGCAAGTCCTGTGTCATCCTTCTTTTAAAAGGGAACATTGCAATTGAAACTGTTTCTAGATTTTTGTTTCCGTTGAAACAGTCCTGTTGCTGACTTAAGCTTATTTAGCTCTTCAAGACCCAGTTCCAGTATTGTTGCGTACGAACATAGAGAGTTTCCTTGGTTCTAAAAGTGGAGTCAGTAATTTTATTTCTCAGTTCTCCTTTTAAAAGCATTGTTCCTCAGTTTATCCTAGAAGGGTAAAAGGCTATCGGAGTTGAGGTAAGAGGGCCTGGGGAAAGCTGGCACGGGTCTGTTAAGGGGAATGCCGTGCTGGTAGAGTAAGTGCTATCTAGGGAATCAATACCTTTCCTAAACACTAAATGAAGTTCCTTCCTACTGGGTGCACAGGCTACACTGCTCTGGGTGATGTTGTCTCAGGGGTTATGAATGCTGGCAGGGAACTTGCAGAGAGTCTGTGAAGGTTGCATCTTTTGCCTACGTATTGGAGAAGAGAGACTTCTCTTTAGTGCCCATTACAGTGCCATGCAGTGACACCCCCACCCTGCGTCCTCTCCAAGCACAGCTGCTTCCTTTCATTGAAGGACTGGAAACGGGCCTGTTTGCTCACAGGTTTAGTTGTGGAAGCTGCACTCTTTTTAAAAATGCACGGTCGGATGAGGTGTTCCATTTTACAGAATGTTAAAATGCCCTGAAGGCCACTGCCACTTTCCCCAGAGTCTGGAGGTAGGACTTCTCCCAGAGGGCACCAGCATAGGACTTCAGGAGCCCTGGGCATACCTCAGAAAGTTGCTGTGTTGTGTCCTATCTGCTGAGGTCGAGCTCAGCTGGCTGTGCTGTAGCGCATGGGCTCTGTTCTCAGCAGAGAGTTGTGCTGTCCTTTCCCACTGTACTGCATATAAACCATTATGTGGCACTGGAAGCAGAAGTCTCTCCTCCTCCCTTTCTAGAATGAAACAACTGCTTTTCCTGTTTCTGCTCATGTGATTCTGTCGCCTTTGTCAGGTGGTGGTCAGCCAAAAGCAATATTTTGGTGGTGTTCTCACTGGTGTCAAAGCCGTATTTTTTCACAGCAGTTCTGCACTTTTAGCTCACGGGTCCCAAGGCTTTGGGTCTGTTTGTATGCTTCATGAGTTTGCCGGATCTCCTCCATTGAGAATGCTCTCTCCTACAAGCCTCCCCCTGGGATTCATGAGCTGTATTCACACAGAAACCTGCAGCTGTGCTAGTGAATACTGCTGAACTGTAGTGTCCGTATTTTCCATAGCCAGGACATTATCCTTTTACTGCTAGAGACTTCCCATTTTTGCAGGTAACTATAATGCTATTGGTTGAGCGCAGGCCACATCTCCCCACTTTACTTCTCAACGGTACCACTTCTGCTTAACTACGATTTAAAGTTGATAATTCTGTGGTTTAGTGCTGGGATGTACCGCAGCCTAGACATAATTCAGCCTTATTTCTTAATGAAGGTTCTGGGGAAGCTGGAGTTTTTGGAGGCTATTTAATCTTGGTTGAATATTAATAAGGTGGCTGCAAAACTGTCATCCTTATTTCTGGTAAGTTCACTCTCTGCAGATGCTCTTTTTGGTGTGCCAGATTTTAGGCATTGCCTTCCACTTTAGTTAGAAAAATCTACCTTTGTTTGCTTGCTTCTGGATGGATGGGTTTGAAAGGTTGACACTTTTGAAGAGTCAAACTGGAATTAGAAGAAGACAGTTTGCCGATAAGATTTGAAATGCTTAGCACTGAAATTTGCCATGGGACCAGAACCACAATACTCAAATTTGGGCAAATTTCTTCACAAGTGAAAGGGAAAATTAAATTTAGACTTGCTATTAGTGGATGAGCACTGCGTCATGTCATCATTGGTTCAGTCTGTGTGGTCATCTTAGCAAACTGGAAACAGTTTTAAAAGTGCTTTCATTCTAGACCACAGAAATGCAGGAGCTTGTAGGCAGAAGCTGTCTCTAGAGAATTATGGAATAATTCAAGTTTGAGCATATTTTAGGCTCTGTTATGGTGACCACTATTGTATTAATTCTTTTCCTCTGAAGAGAGGGTTTGTCATTCCAAAATGATTCAGAAACCTTTGTATGACATTTCTGGATGAAGGCCTCTTAAGACAGGCTTGCAAAGTGTCTGAAGCCTGAATGACAGAACTGCTGCGCTGCGAGCACTGGGACTGGCATACACTTCACTTGACCATATACTTTGCGGGCAGTTTGCTTTCTGTTGCAATGAGAGCAAATGTCTAACACTGTGGAAGCCATATAACTTCCTGTAAACCTTGTGGGATCTCATTTAAATCAAGGCCTTTCTTATTTTAGATGTGCTATTTAGCGTGCACTCTGCTTGAGCATGTAATGGTCTGCAGTTGTGTTGCAGAGACCCTATAGTTGCCTAAAATTATTTCACTTAACATGCAAAGGTGAACTCCTGTTTTCAAGCTAGTTTGTTTTGATGGTTGGGTTTTTGTGGATGTTTTTCCTATCAGCATGCTTTAAATTTGTAAATCTCCACATGTTGCTTGTTTCACTTGAAACGACATAGGAAATTCCTTTCATAGGAAGGTTTTTGAGAATTAAAAAAACTACTTAAATTTTAGTGGGGTAAATGCGCAACTAGGAGTTCAACCACTCAGAATTGCTCTGTGGCTGTGAACGCCTCACTTTGGATGTGTCTGCTGTTCTGTTGAAGTGCTTTGGAGCTTCTGACATGAATTACGGGGACAGCCCTGTGGATTTTTTGCTGCAGAGATGTGAGTCTGTTCTTGCTTTGAATTTAATCCTCCTCCTTGTGATCATCTCGCACCTGTACAGGAACCCCTGGAGGATATGATGTGCTGATTGTCTATGCAAGTGACGCTGCTGAATGGTGTCAGTACCTCCAGAACCTCTTCCTCTTTACTCGGCATGTTCGAAAACATCGAATTCTGAGCTACCAGCTGGAAGGCAAGTCTGCCATCTCCCACCAGGAGCTGGACCTGTTCAAGAGAAGTCGGAGCATCATCCTTTTGCTATCTGCTGAGCTGGTGGAGAGTTTTTATATCCCTTCCATCCTTCAGAGCCTTCAGGAAGCTTTATGGCCCCCGTACAAAGTAGTCAAGCTGTTCTGCGGTGTTACAGACTGTGACGACTATTTGACCTTTTTCCAGGACTGGTCTCAATGGCAAGAACTCACAAATGATGATGAGCCCGATGCTTACCTTGCAGCTGTCCAGAAGGCTATTTCAGAAGGTAAGATAGCAGTCGTGGAGTTGCGCTTCCTGGTACGAGGTTGGAGGAGGGAGATAGCCGATGTTGTTTATCCTTATTTTAACACTGGTAACATGTTTTACCGAAATAGAAAACTGGAGCAAATTTCACAACCCTTGTAAGCTAGGAAGTTTTGCAAGCTAATTTTTCTATGCCTGTTCAATTGATCCGTAATTCAGGAGAGGTTACCAGTGACTCACAGAGAACTTCTGAATTTGGACGTTATGTGCCTGGTTTTGAATGCAAATCAAAACTAACAACTGAATATCTTTAAATTTCTGCCTGTAAATATTGTGCCCTGCAGTTTATTGGCCCAAATTGATAGAAAATTATGTTTTCTTTTAGAGTTACATTTCTGTCATACCAGAACCAAAATAAGGTTGTCTACAATGTATTACACAGAATCACAGAACGTTAGGGATTGGAAGGGACCTCAAAAGCTCATCCAGTCCAATCCCCCTGCCGGAGCAGGAACACGTAGATGAGGTTACACAGGAAGGCGTCCAGGCGGGTTTTGAATGTCTGCAGAGAAGGAGACTCCACAACCTCTCTGGGCAGCCTGGTCCAGTGCTCTGTCACCCTCACTGAGAAGAAGTTTCTTCTCAAATTTAAGTGGAACCTCCTGTGTTCCAGCTTGTGTCCGTTACCCCTTGTCCTATCATTGTTTGTCACTGAGAAGAGCCTGGCTTCATCCTTTAGTGCTGGGCCTAAAGTCAGAGATATAACCATCCTGCCAACAGATCAGCTTGTTACCTGTGATGGAATGGCAGAGAATAATTGGAGAATTCCACTGATGGCCTTAAAAATAACCCAGTCAATTTGCAACTGATCACCTCATAACAAGCACAGAGAACTTACTAGCACAGAAGTATTAATAGCTGGAGGCTACAGAAGCCAAATGTACTGAGTTTTAATTTAATTTTTACTTTCCCAAGCTCTACAGGAGCGTGTGGTAATCCTTTCTCATAGTTTCTGTTGAAGTGAAAGTGCAGAGCTCCAGGGAGTTGTGCTGGTCAAGATGTTTTTACGACACTGCCATACTTGGGGTTATAGTGTCCTTTGTCAGCCTTTGCAGGATTGGAGTCTTGTGGTTGCATCTTGGATTAAGATTTATCTGTGTTTAGTGCCATAAATGAGGCAGTGCAGTCTTCTAGTGTGTCTGGTGTTGTATGCATAAAGGTGCTTTATGCCAGATTAACAACAGCAATAATCATGATGAGAAATTTATCACAGTAAAACTAAATTTTGAAACACGTGATCTTGGCCAAAACAGTCCCTTGAAAAAAGATGACTTAAGGACTGCACTGAAGATGACATTCTCAGGTAACCAGGTCACAACAGATGTTTCTTGATGCCTTTTAGAAGCCTGTATAAACTAAAGTTTGCATCTCCCTTTCAAACGTCCTTAAAATGTCTTGGTTTCCCAATGGATAACCTAGGGCTAAAGTGGTCTGGCTGCTTTACTTTCAACCTTCAGGAAGCCTTCTTCGGGAAGAAGACAGAAAACAGCGGCTGAGCTTTTGCACTCTGAAAAATAAAGCTGACTAGAGATTTAATTAGATTTTCTGACACTTTCTGGCAAAAGTAAAACTTTAGTTACTGTTTTCCTCCAGACTTGGGTCTAGAGCATGGCACCAGTATTTTACTGATTTTAAATATGCTAGTCAAAGATAGGGAAGTTTAAACAACATCTCCCTGGATTACTAATGGTCTTTACTCAGCATGTTTGACAACTGTCAGTTATTTCAGGCCAGAGTAGGAGTAAGTTCTCGTGTAGCTGAAGAGGGTGTGAGAGTACAAAGGGATGTTGATTCTGCAATCTCTTCCTAGAGCAAGCTCTTGCCAGTCTCTTCTGACTTGCTGCATTCTGAATGCACAAAGCACAACACGAGGCAGAAGACAGGCTCATGCTTCCTGGGCCGCCAGTGGAGTGGGAAGGACGAGTGTCTCTGTCCTGTATTAGATGAACTGGCTGTAGTGGGAGGTTTCACATAGCCAAGTGGATCCCTACTAGTGAGACACTTTCACCCATCTTGCTTGTTTTGGGTGCATTGAAAATCAAAGAGAATTTGGGATGAAGGGAAAGTGGATGGGCATGGGAATGGATCAGCTAGAAACCACTCTGGATCAACTGCTTCTCTCTATGGTGATAAGCTGTGTTTGTCAAGGGTAAGCACCCAAAATCTGATTTTTATGCTGGGAAAGTGTATCTGGTGGCAGTGGTGTGCTGAATGTAGAGCCTTGTCAACTAAAGAGCAGCCTCTGCTCCCTTTGATGTTGGATACAGCCAATGAATTGTATTAGGCTGTCCTGGCTCTCTTTCTCTGCTTCAACAAGTGGTTCCCCACAGGTGAACTAGCTCTCTCTGTGTACAGCTGGCTGCTCCTTGGCACGCCACCAGGGGCTGTGCCTGGGGTACCTGGGTGCTGGATCTTGCCAGTACTTCTCAGGGCCTACTCTGGGAGGGAGCAGAGGTGATTCTTAATGGTAGCACTGCACTGTCTGTCTAAGCAGCCCAGGGAAATGTGTCTTGTGTGCCTGGCTGTTTAGCAGGCTCACTGCTATACATCTATGGCAAAACTTCTTTGGGATAAGGCACTACCATCTGACTTTCGCAGTTGGACGTGGAGTCTTTCTCCATAGGTGTCATCTGTGCTGAAAGTTAGCATGTGCTGAAAAACTCTGTGCTTTAGCTTTATGCAAGTGCTGTTTCGAAAGGGAGATCGTGCTTTGGATTTTTGTTGTTGTTTCTACATAGCCAAAAAACCTGCTTATTTTCTGTTTTCTCACTTTAACTGGCATACATTGACCTCAAACTGACCTCAGTATACGTAGAAAATGAGAGAAGAAATGAGATAGAACAAAACTAATTTGCTGTGGAGTCTGCTGTAGCATTTTGTGAATAGTTTGGTGCACAGAGATTCAGAATTTCTGGACTTGTGGTACTGTTACAGGAGCCCTACCTGATGTGAGCTATCAGCTGCATGCAAGAGTAATGTCAGGCTGTTCCTTTGTGCACATCAGAGCTGTTGCCAAGGCAAGCCATAGCTGCCACTCTGACTCTTGTGAAGGAAGAAGCTACTTAAGATAGGCTGGTTACATGGCAAAGATATTTGGATGAATGTATTGGATCCTGCCTCTGTGTGGGGAAAAAAATGGCGAGGTGACCTCTTCCATTATGTGATTCTACAGGCCAAGTTTTGTGAATGGCCTGAAATGCAAATGTTCTGATGCTTCCTCTGAAGAGAAGATAACCCCAGGTGTTCATAGTTCCCTTTTGGGTGAAACTGTGAAAACTTTCTTCTTGGTTGGTAAGAAAAAAAATAGCATCTGCCTTACAGATTGATTGCAGCCAACCCCAGCAGAAGTTCCTTAAAGTAAGAGTGTTTTTGACAGCAGACCTCTCCCACAGAGAAACATAGCCTGTGCTCTGCTCCCTGGACTTCACTATTAAGAGTTTAGATGAAGGCTTTGAAGTCAGGAGCTCTTAGAAGGTCTCAGTTAAGTCCGTTCTCTACAGCAGACTGAGCTTTTCCTGAGTAAGGCAGCCCTCAATTTTTACAGCACTTAGCAGAGAAAGTTTATGATCGTGTTTGAAATTATTTGTCTGGGTGTCTTCCTCTGGGAAGTACTGCTCTCGTCGTGAACACGTGTCCAGCAGTACTTCTAACAGCAGCGTCAGCACACATTGAAAAACTCAGCCTGATACAAAAATGAACAAGCTTCAGCTTCCTAATAGCTGAATGCTGAGCTAGCAGAGCATATGACACAGGGCAGGGGCAAATACCTCTCCAAAGCCTGCACCCTGCCTCTACTCAGGCTGTGCTGTTGCCTCTAGTACAGCTGCTAAGGCAGTGGTTTGCTTAGTGCATCATGGGAACATGACGCCCTCAGACATCACACACTGAAAGCTATTTTAATTTCTATTAGTTTAGTATGAATTCAGAAATGAGGAAGTGCTGATATAGCCTTGTTGACAACTAACTGTGCTACACTGACCCTTGTGTTCTTGTAGATGGGGCTTTTTTATTTCTACAGTTTCTCAGTCCTGTCAAACTACAGATGTCTTTCAGGTTTCCATTTGCAGACGCTCTTGTTATCTGCAGGGCAGTTTTTCAGGCTATGCAATAACTGTGCTAAGGACATGAAAATACTCAGGATGGTACTGTACAAGCCAGCTCAGGTCTGGCAGGGTACAGGCAGGATGCAGTGACCAACCTGCTACTTAAGCCCTCATGTCTGACTTCTGACACCACACCATGCTGTGCTGTGTACATTGGGCAGCTGAGAGCCTGTGCTGCACAGTTTGAGTCAGTGACATTTCTCTTCCTCCTGTGTTGTCAAAGCTCAGTTGACATCTGTTTTGTATTATGAACACTTCAAGTTCTCCAGTTTATTTCAGCCCCTACCTATGTTGTCTTGAAAAATGTCAAATTTACTGCTTTAAAAGTTGATGTTTCCAAACCATTTACTAATTACTCAGTGGCTTTGAACTTTCTGTACCCAAGCAAACACTTGCAGGGAAAAACCCAGGGAAGTCAACATCTGCCTGAGATTGCTAAGGTGATAACTGAGTGTAACAGAGGCTGTGAAGCATGCTGTTGAAGGACAAGTGCAGCCTCAGCTGAGAAAAGCTCGTGCAGTGGAGCAGACAAGAAATAAGATCGGTACCAGCCATCTTCTTGTGAAATAGGAGGGTCAGAAGTGAGTACAAGAAAACCTGGTGAATATGGAGGACAGTGGGCTGCTTGAAGGAAGATGAGAATTTTACTGGAGCTCTGTAGATGAGGAAGAGCTGGAATGTTGTTCCACATAGTGAAGGGCTCATTGAGAGATGCCAGAGACCAAGGCAGTGAGCTTTGTTAGTAGAGAGATGGCATAACAGAAACAGCATAAGCTGTTACCTTTCTCCCTCCTGTACTTGTCAAGGAATTAAATTAACTTCCTGGCTTTCTTCTGTTGCACTGGTGAAACTATGAATG